CCGGGATGAAAGGCAGAGAATATGGTTTCATTTTCTGCCTTTCATCCCGAGGCGAAATGGTCCGGGATAAGGTCTGGGATGGAAGGCTTATGTAGCCACTTCGAATTCGATCCCGGATTCAATCCTAGACTCTATCCCGGAACAAAATCATCCGGGATTGAATACGGGATTGAATCAGAGATTGATTTTTTTCCCAAATTTCTCAGTCCTGCAAGCACAACATGAAAATGACCCTAGATCTACATTGCTGCTTCAGATAGCGCCGATAATGATATCAGAACAACAAACGTTTCTAAAAATTTTGTTATAATCTACCCGACCACTAACCTTGCGATCGATGACTTCGTAGGGCGAAACAATGGAAGAGAAACGTCCGAGATAACTTCGTAAGGTCCGGGATGGATGAATCGTCCAACGTCCGAGATAACGTTCAATCCGGGATAGGTTTTAGGGTTTTAGGACAAATGAAACGTTCGAGAAAGGGTGAAAATTTTCGTTGGGCCAGGAAACGTCCGAGATGGGGTTTAGGATTTTAGTTATTTACTTGGAGGGAGTTCCCTTCATTTTTAAACATGAGGGTACTAAGGTAAATTGGTTGGGGGAGAGGTTCAAAATTAAGTAGAGGTGGGGTCAAAAATTAGGTTTTTTTAAAAGGAGTTCATTTATCCAATTTGAACGGTCAAAAACCCCAATTTCCCCATTTTTGTATAAGCCCATACTAAAATTACTATATTACCCATGCAGATCTATTATTTGTAAACAATAAAAAAAATCATAGAAGGCACAAATCTTGATTTAATACGTGGCACAAATTTTGGGGTTTCATATCAAGAAACCTTCTATATTTTTTTATTATTATATATTTTTTTTTTTTGCTGCAAAGGTAAAAACTTTCCGTATTCTTCTAACAAAAATTATTCGGATTCTTCTAAAAGATATCCAACCATATTTTTTTGAAAATCTCCATAACACAACATCGTTCCATCGCATTGTTTCAACCGCCAAATAGAAAATAAAGGAAGTGATCTATTTTCGGGCCATTACGCACCTTTGCCGAGGGGAGCTTGAAGAATCGTTCTACGTTTTGCTATTATTTATAATCGCCGAAAAGCTCAATGAATAGGTTTATTTCTGGATATTGTTGACCTTCACTGACGAGAAGATTGAAGAATCTTTTAATTTCCTACCAATATTCAACGCTGCAGACACTTGTTAAGAAAGCGAGTAGTAAATATTCAAACATTGGTACACCAACAACATTGTCATTTTACGATAGACATTTTGGAGACATGCATCACTACAGAAAAGATCCAAAGCAACATATTCAATGCAAACCTATAGTTGATTTACTAGAGGATGAAGAAATTATTGCCACACAAATTGTTCCGTATAATGAATTAGAGGTATTTATTTAATATTTTATATTTTTATATAAACAAGTACATATTGCATATTGAATAAAAATGATAATTTCAGGATGGGAACGATGTTCCTCATATTGGAAGAAGAAGAAATTCAAAATGATGAAGTGGTGGGAGGAAGGAAAAGAGAAATCGTCGAATGAATTGAAAATCTGAGGAATGAAAATCATATCATTAAAAAACAGTTTTAAAGTATGTACATATTTAAAACATAACATTTTGCACGATGAAGATATTCCACTTAGTGACAAATTAAGGAAATTAAGAAATAAGTCAATCAAAAAGGGGTCAAAAAGTTGTGAAAAGGGTCTTACAAGAAACACTACCCAATGGAAAGGTAAATAATGATTATCTATCTATCTTTATATTGGTAAGTTTGAGGTGATTTATGCAAGTATAATTATTAATGTAAATTTCATTACATTACATACGGTTGACAAATGTGAATGTCGAAAAGAAACGAGAAGGAAGGAAAATGTGCCTAAGAGGATTTTGGGGAGTAAACCGATCCAAACTGTATGAGATATGTATTATATACGGTTGACAAATGTGAATTACTTTGCCATTTGATTAGGAGACAATGTAGTCCGACGTCTGGGGATGGGATTGGTTTTAACATTGAGGGAGAGGTAGTATACTTTGAAATAGTAGAATTTAAATGTATTATTGGACTTAATTGTGGCAAACTTTCGGCAGTAGACTTCAAAAAAACTCAATGGTAGATTCTTGGAGAATGTACTTTGACAACTCTAAAACTTCGATAAAAAGGTCAACAGTTCAAACCATTTTTATTGGAAATAAATAAATTAAAGAATAGAGGTATATACGGTTAAAATGGCTAAACTCTTAATGTCACAACTTTAATGTTGGATGATTATAATATATACCAACTAAATGAAGAGGTAAGTATGTTTGAGCAATTATTTTTTAACTGTTATTAAAAAGTTTCCATCTTATATATTAATAATATTATTTTGTTAAATTGATGTAGTTTCAGTTAAAAAAAATATGCTTGAAATGGTTGAGGATATGCAAAATAAGGGATAACATAAAACAACGACAATATTTTTTAAACTAAACTGGAAAAGGGTAAATAAATAACTTTATTAAAAAAAAAAATAGACAGTGAAATGTTTAAAAATTGAAGATATAAAATTAAGGAACATCTAATAAGGAAACATAAATTGGTAATTTACAAATAAGGATAAAGAGCAAAGTAGAGAGAGCAAGTTAGTGGAATGAGTTATGTGCATTGTTCTGATTGAATCAAGGCCTTTTAAACAGGCTCCAAGACATAACATTAACACCATTTTAGGCACTAATTACTAACCAATTGAAATTTAAGAAAACTAACTTAAGACTAGGAACTAATATGAATTTTTCAACTAACATTTTAACCCCCTTTAAATAGTTCCTTTTCCTTTGGGAAATCATTACCAAAGATTTTCTTTGAGTTTATTTTATTTTGTGCTATGATATTGTCTCTTATTTCTATTATTAGTTTAGGAGAGCATAAACTAATAGATTGGGTAAATTTAATTCACAACACTCTCCTCACTTATGGACTTGTATAAATGGGGAGAAAACAACAATGCAGGGGTTCAAGCACTCCTTCATACCATGTTAAACCACCACTCAACCCAACAACTTAAGTCGATGGATTGGGTTTTAATTAATTAATATAGATTCTCAACATATACGATTAGGTTCTAGTACTTTGAGATTTCGTTGTCCATACGTTAGAATTTGTCGCGTATCAAATTTTCTAGTAGAAAGCTAACTTTACGTCCATTTTAAGAAGTTTCCAATTGTTTTGTGCCGCAAACACCACCATCATTCATATAGTATCATTATGCCTTGCACTTGGAGCAAAAACTTCCTTGTAATAAATTGTCGGTTGTACATTTGTTAAGGTTGGGAGGGCAAGAAAATCTCATATTGATTAGAGAAGAAAGTGATCCATAGACAAATGAGAACAATTACTTTCATTGAAATGAAGTCTTTTGAGTGAAATAAAAAACAAAGTCGTGAAAGTCATACTCAAAACGGACAATATATATATCATATCACAAACTTTATCTGTTTATCTCGTCTAATTTGCCATCTTTGTTCAACTTTGTTTTGTAAACACATTTAAGACATTGATTTTTGCCCTTCACGAAGTTCCAACAGCTCCCCAAAGTATTGTTTTTCTCAAATTGACCTATATCTTCATCCATAAACTGTTTCCATTTCAGATCTTTGACAAATTCTTCAAAAGTTGATGGATCACAATATGATAACATAGGGCTAACAAAATTAGCTAACTATATAACAAACTTTTAACAGTATTTACCACGAGTAATAACGAACAACTAATAACAAAATGATTAATTATCAAACTCAGCTTCATTAGATTAGGGGTGGGATAGAATTATAGAGGTAAAAGAAACTTGTAACTCAATTATAATTACAAACAAAACAATTCATGACAATATAGTGATTCTATTAACATAATTTGGGAATATCCTTATGTATCAGATTTTTTTTTTTTTTAATAAGGGTTAATATACGAGACTTAACTAAACTCAAACAGTTTAATTGATTAAGAGGAGAATTATATTTTGTCACTAACTTTGTGAATAGTCCATGAGTTTCAAAATCTCACAATATAACCCCTAAGCTTTCAAAATGCTTCATTTTAGTTCCATTGGCCACATTCAAAGATAGATGATGTGGCAAAAAAATTATTTTATTTTAATTTTATTTTTTAATACAACCAATATGGGCCTCCAATTTTTAGGGAATACACTAAATATCTTATAACTGCTCTATGCTCATGTTTGGCAAAAATTATTTTTATTGATCGGTTGGTTCATTATCAAAATGCTGATATAATATAGGAAAAAAAATTACCCTACCCTTTCAAATTTTAAAAAGTAAAAACTGAATGCATAATTAAAGCCAATATTTGATAATGATTTCATTTTTTGTTTACTGTTTTAAAATATATTCATGTTTCTCAAAACGCTTTTTAAAAGTACAAAAATACATAGATGGAAAAATATTTTTAAGCTAAGTTTTAAAAAACATAAAACCTAAAACAAAATGGTTACGAAATGGGCATAAACAAATTTGTTTTTCAAAAATGAAAAACCAAACACTAAAAACAAAAACAAAATAGCTATTAACATGTAGAATGATGCTCATGTAAGAAATATTTGATTAATAGAAATTATGTATACATTAGTTAAAAGAAAAATAGAAAATCAGAAATGAAAAACTTTGATCTTACAAATGTATCTTTGGGGCACTTAATCCTCACGCCAATTATGTCTGCAGTTCTCGTTCATGCACTTGTAAAATGTTGTAGCAGGTTCATCAGCCGATCTCAGCTGTAATTGTATAAAAGCAGCCTTACCAAATGCACAATTTGGACATGTTGCTACAGAATTTGGGAAAACATTAGGGAAAAAAAAAGGATAAAGAAATAATAAGTTATGCCCAATGCTTTACATATATCCAGGAAAAAAATAATAATAAGTTATGCAGGATAATAAGGCTGTGCTAATGTTCTACAACTTCCAAAAATAAATCACCATCATATTATTCGTCAGTACGAAAAGAAAATCAAAACCAGTGCCTCCTTATAGAGAGAGTTCACGGCTGCAAAGTTTTTTTCTTTTTCCAGATAAAAATTATTACAACCTGTGAACCATCTCTATAAGTCCTGAAATTTAATTATTTAGGCTCCGTTGATAACGATTTCATTATTAGTTTTATATTTTTAAAATTTATGCTTAATTTATCACTATTTTTTAGTATGTTTTTTTTACCTTTCTTTAGAACACATTTGAATTCTTAGCCAAGTTTTTAAAACAAACACAAGTTTTGGAAACTAATTCTTTTAGTTTTCAAAATGCGGCTTAGATTTTGAAAATGTTTTTAAAAAGTTGATAACAAGACAAAGGAATACATAGGTGGAAGTAGTGATTGTAAGCTTAATTTTATAAAATGAAATGGTTATCAAACGCAGCTTTAGTTACACAATCGTTTCTACTCTTGCCCGTCCATTTTCCATATGATCATATGATGCAAAACTTAGAAAATGTGTATTCACGGACAATGAACGTGAATGTCACAGAATTACCATTGGCTATCAGTTGAAACCTCTGAATTTACGTTTCTTAAATAAATAAATAAAAATATAAATTTTCAAGGCTAGAATACCCTACATCTATGTCTGTGATGAGCATAACTCATTAGGGTCAAGTCATTCATTCTATGATCTATATTTCCAGTTTTACAGATTTAGTTCATACATCTTCCTCTCACCACAATAAAGATGCATTGGAAGCACCATGTAAGTCTAATACCATTCACAAAAGACAAAAAGGTACTTTTTCAAACGTCTTTCAAAAGATTGAAGAGATCAATCATCCATTCAAGGTTACAATACACGAAAGGATGAATCCTTTTTCGATTGCAAAGAAAATGGATGAGTAGAAGAAAAAAGGCATGAGAGGACTCATCTTTAAGCTTGATTTAGAGAATGCTTAAAATAAGTGGGGACTGGAATTTTCTTGACTTGATTCTAGAGTGACATCTTGCCTTCTACAGATCACCTAAGAGAAGATGACCTTATCTCCCATTTTCTCTGTCTTGGTGGCTGATAGTTTCAACAGATTTCTTTCCTTGGGTATGAAGATGGGACCATTGAAGGTTTCTTTCTTAAGAAAGTTCAGACTCATCTCTCTTTTACAATTTGCAGATGATATTGATTTAATATTACGTATAGAAGTTTTTAAATCTCCAATCTCCTAAATATTATGAAGCTTTTTTAATTTACTTTTGGACTTCTATAACTTTATCAAAACAGCAGGGGCAGAGACTAATTTTCCTAAGTTGATGAAGAGGAATGCAGCCCCCATTGCTAAGAGAGGGCGTCTTAAGTTCACTCAGTCGACCCTTACTAATTTCCTCCTAGACTATCTTTTAATGTTAAAGTTTCCAGTAAATTTGCTGCAACAATTTAGAGTTACATCTGAAAGACTGAAACTTCTTTTGGGAGGGTGAGTATAAGGTGGTAGTCATCTAGTTACATAGAATACGGTCTCCTTTGCTTATCAAAAGATGGTGTTATACCAAGGACAAATTCTTTATTGTTCCTCTAGCTCAATTGGTGTTCCTTCGTAGAAAGATAGAAGAATTGTTCTCCACATTTTCTTGAATGTCAGTCTAGGATATGGCTTTGATGTGTTTTGAGGTTAGTTGTACCCGATAGCTTAAAGGACTTCATTTCTAAACTTCTGTGAGGTCTAAGAAGAAAAATATCTTGTGGATTAATGGTATTGTTGCCATTTTTCGGAAGGTTTGATTGGAACGAGGAATCTTCAAAGATTTAGTTCCTAGGGAAGAAACTTGGGACCTTATCACTTCAGTCATTGAGATTATTTTCAGCTAGACCCTTTATAACTAAAGGAAATAGAACCGCCACACTAGTTTGGCCTACCATTTACGGCTATATATAAACACTTGCATTTCATAATATATAGGTGAATCAAATTACTGTCCTTGCAATAGTTATCGGATTAAATCTTTTCTCCAACTCCAGCCGGCAAAAATTTAATAGAAAAAACAAAAAAACGTAATTAAAGGCAAAGATGTATACCTTCGGTTTGAGCTGCTGTTTTCATATCATCATCAGAGATTATGGGTTCTAATTCCTTCTTTAACAAATGCTGCTTTCTTTTGATCTTTACCTGAATAGTAGAACCACGAGAATGCAGTCCTCAGATCATTACACAAGAAACTAAGAGGCGTAAATAAGAAAGTTACAGAAATTTGAGTGTCACATACCCTGTTCTCCAAATGGCACACATAAGGACAAGTCGGGCAGAAGAATCTGGAAGATTTGCCCATATTGGGCAACTCAAATTGCAGCATGTTCCCGCAAGTTGGGCAGAACTCCATTAGCTATGCCCTAACACAAATCCATCCTCTACCAATCAGTAATCTGATGCATATCAAACACAGAATATATAATCCGCTCACTCAACAGAAATTATTGAACTAGAAAAAGAAATTGAATGCAAAAACTAAAGACACCTCCCAAATAAGTGTAATATTTCTTCAAATCCAGTGTCTTAAGCGAGGCATGGGGAGGATAGCGAAATCCCTGTAAAAGAAGGACATAGGAACTTACAGAGAGTCGGAGAGATCGGCAAGTAATGAGGCGACTGATGTGAGAAGTGAGCGAGAAACGCGTGCGTGTGAATCTGGGAGAAGGATGGGGAGGGGATTTAGCAGCGCGGGAAAAAAGAAGGGTTTTTTTGTATGGACCGAAAAATTTGGGCCGAATGAAATTAGAACTTACAAATACATGAAATCGTGTCTATCGTTGATCTTCCCTATCTCGCCATAAACCACCTTTTCCTATCGGTGTTATTGCAACGACACATGAGATTTAGAATGCAACTAAGCGAGAGTGTGACTAAGCGAGAAGGGGAAAGAGGGAGTGAAGTGAGCGAGAGAGTGATGGTCAAGCAAAGTTGGTCGTCAGGGGTTGGACGAGCTTGGGATGATCGAGCTCGGGACTGCGTTCTCGACGTGGTTTTCTTGAGCTGGTCGACCTGAGTAGGTTGGCTCGGGCTAGTCGACCAAGGGTGGTTGGGCTTAGGATGGTCGCACTTGGGAGGTTGCTTGGACTTGTCGACTCGATATGATCAACCCATGTTGGTCAACTCGTGGTGGTTGGCCTAAGTTGGTTGACCAGGGGTGGTTGACCTAGTATGGTTGGCCTTAGGTCGTCGACCTAAGTTGGTCAGCCAAGACTAGTGCTTGAGATGGTCGTCTCGAGAATCATGATCGAGCTGGTTGCCTCGAGATAGTCTTGGGGTGTTAGGCTCGTGCTTGTTGAGGTTGGTTTGCCTAGCTTGGTCGGGACTTGAGCTTATTGGCCTGGATTTTTCAACTTGAGTTGATTGGCTCGAGGTGGTCAAGTCCACGTTGGTCAGCCTGAATTAGTCGGCCCAAATATGTCTGTTGGAAAATTGCTTACCAAGAACTTTTCCTCTTCCTCGGTTCGTCGGTGAAAAGTAAGCAAATCACAATAATAAGATAATATAGGGAAAGCACAGTAAACAACACAAACAATTTATACTGGTTTACCCAACTACGGGCTACGTTCAATCTTCTGCAACAACGAATTCTACTATAATATTGGAATAATACAATACTCTCAAACTGCAATTTATACTGGTTCACCCAACTATGGGCTACTAGAACCCTGAGATCTCACATCTAAACTACTTTACCAATACACTGCCCTTTGATACGTGCACCAACACTCTCAGTCGTCACTCTATGTTTGTGCAACAACACATCAACATAAAAAAAAAACTAAAGAAAATGAAGGTATTTAAAATCCTTATCAGCGCGTCTCAATGCTACGACCATGTAGCGTTAAATAACAAAACATGTGCGCCTCTGCCTTTACGTTCTTATTGTCACAGTGTTGTGACGCTCCCTACGGTGTCTCAACACTATCTTCTCGACCTATGTGTCTCCTGCAGTATTTTCATTCGTCTTCAATTCTTTTCTCTCTCTCTTCCATTTTGTTTTGACTCCACCAATCCCAACATGGTCGACCTAGTTTGGTCAGCCTAAAAAGCATCTTACAGCTCCTTTAAACAATGGCTTAATTTAAGAGGCTAGCAAATATCACCTACCAACTAATGCTAAAAAAAAATCACTTTAAAATGATTTCACAATTTCCCAAAATCAATTTTATCCCAGAAACATTTTAAAGGAGAGTGATTTTGGCAATGACAAAAGTAATTTAAGCCATGTCAAAATCACCCAAAACACACCCCAATATTTTACAATAATAGACAAGCAATTTTAGAAAATGACAAAAATAATTAATCACTCCCACACATATCCTAAACTCACTCTGTTTGGGGGTAAAACTACCTGAGACACGTGGAGGACGCTTATTGGAGGACGGTTACTGGTGTTATAAGGATTAAATATCCAAGGTCCACCTCAAACCTGCCGAAGAGGTCGGGTTCGCCCATAGAGAAAAGGCTGTGTACATGCTGAAGTCCGATCTGAGGGAGGACCGACCTACTCGGAACCCGACAGGTCCAATATGGGAAAGAACATATAACTGCCGGTCGTGAGTGCAGTCGGATCCCCCACCTATAAATAGAGGGTCTCATTTCACGCTCAGGTATCAAATCTCACCTCGAACTAAATACAGAATCCGACCAATATTAACTTGAGCGTCGGAGTGTTTACCCTCTTGTGCAGGTCCACACTTGTGTTCAGGTCGAGCCGGGGACCGGGTTCGAGCTACGTTCGTAAAGTGTAGTTGTGTAGACCTTCGCATAAACATTTGGCG